AACACAGTGTGAGAACCTAGATTTGGCAGCTGCTGTCTTTCTGTCAGGTCTGAATTTCCAAAGAAATTAGCCTCCTGCCAGAGGAAAGTCACTAAAAGTGCATTTCTAGTCCCTTTTCTGCCTAGAGATGGCATCCATTATCATGGGAAGTGCAGGGAACAAATGTGCAGCTTTGAATTGCTAAGTGTGAGCCTTTGCTTTGTACCGTGGAGCACTACACTTAGTGTGAGCCTTTGCTCTGTACAGTGGAGGATGATATTTTAAGCCCCACTCAGTACATTTGCCATTAGTGAAAAATTAACAAGCTGTTCACAAATCTATCACCATAGAAATCATTTGATCAAGATCATGGGGGAGAACAGTAGAGTGATGGGTTTCTATTTAGTAATAATGTTGACTTTGGTAGGTCTAAACACTTTGTCGTTGACTGCTTTGGTTTTGGACAATAATTCATGGCTGATTGTTGGGAATTTTATATTTCGTGAATACTACTTGAAATTGTGAATTTTGTCAAGAGATACAGTGAGTGGCACATGACTTACAAAGTGTAAAATGCCAGACTTTGATGTGAAAAGATCATATTCAAGTTCTGTTTCTGCTACAGATTTGTACACTACCTGGAAAATCTCCCAGCCTCGTGGAATTTCTGCTTCCTCCTACTTACAATGAAGCAGTTAGGTGATGAACATAGAGACAGAATAATAGTGTTGTGCCTATTTATGACAATGGCTCTCGTGCCAGAGAGAACAATTGGTGTGCTCTTATCCCTCAGTAAACCTTTCCTGCCGGGACTGAGGTGATTTGTAATCGTGGCACTCCATTGTACAATGATTGAAGAAGGTTTTAAAATATGAAAGTGTCACAGTACAAGCATGTGCAATGCACACACATACTACAATGAAGAGGTGGTAAGAGATACGTGACATTTACATAACTCCATTGTTCAAAGTGGGGAAAACAGCTTTAACATAATTGCTACCTTGGATGTACTGCTGTAACTTAAAAATGACTTATTTTCTTAGTATGAGTGTTGTAAAGAATTTTTTAAGCCTCTATTTTTATTGTATGTATATGGGTGTTTTGTCTGCATGGAAATCTGTGTACCACTTGTGTGCAGTGTTGAAGAGGATCATAGACAGCATCTCCCCAGACTGGAATTAAAGACTGTTGTGAGTTGCCATGTAGGTGCTGGGAATTGCACCTGGATTCTCTGGGAAAGCAGCTAGTTGCCCTTAACTGAGCCATTTCCCCAGTATAAGTGTTGTTCCTACATGTATGTCTGGTGCAAAAGAGGGTTCCAGATCCCCTGGGGCTGGAGCTGGAGTCATCATGTAGGTGCTTGGAAAATCAGCTTAGGTCTTCCATGGGCTCAGTAAGTGTTCTTAACTGCTGGACCATCTCTCAGGCTTCGACTGTGTTAATTTCACTTCATAGTGAAGCGAAAAATTTAAAGAAGCAAGTTGGCCAGATGACTCATTGGTTAAAGGTGCTTGCTGCCAAGCCTGATCACAAGAGTTCACTTCCTCCAGAACCCAGATCATGGAAGGTGGAAAGAGAGAAGAGATTCCCACAAGTTGTCCTCAGTCTTCCACATAAGTTCAGTACCATGGTGGCTTATACAGCCACACATAAACAAACAAAATGAATACATGTAAAACATGTTAAGAAAGTTTTTATTCATTTTCAGACACTAAGACTTTTCATTGAGACATGTTCCATCAGGAAAAGGTTCAAAATGCATGCATCTAATAAACTCATACACACCAGTGAAAGGTTAACCTACAGGAACTAACTTAAAAATCAATCCCCTTGGTTTTCTTCAAAGGGAAAGGTATATGTGGCTATGTTACCCATGTAAGCCAAACTGAGAAAGGTTCTTTTTGGTTTGACCTTGTCTCTTAAAGCTCACTGGGCTGACTAAAATTGCTCACTTTACTCCTGAATTTCCAGTCATTTTAGAGCATTTTTCTTTGCATAATTTTTTGAATTCTCATTTTCACTCTGCTTTCTCTCCCCAACCCCAAACGTCTTTTGCTCATATTGAACTCATCTACCCAAAGGAATGAGTAAATGAGTATTTTCCAAGGACAGCGATACCTTAAAAGAAAGCCATTTCCTAAATGAATATCTAATTGGTCAAATTTCAAGCAGCATAACAGTTGCACTAGATTTTCGGTCAGTCTCCTGTCCTCTGAAATATATTCCTTCACCATTATTTGGCATGGCGGCTTTCCAAATACTAAAAGCCATAGAATCCTTGCATGAAAGAAAGTTCAGCATCATGTCAGTATGTAGGACAGATGAGGAATTAAAGTACTTGGTTAGAGTGGGGACAGGGACCCCGAGTTTTCTGGAAGTCCCCAAGCCCTGCTTCTTTTCACCAGACATTTCTGAAGCAGCACACGTGCCCAGCTACCCTGGCAAAAAGCCAGACCGACACACACAAGCACATGTATGTGCAGTGGGAGAATACACCCTGGAATATCCTAAAGCTTACTGCCATGCTGTCGAAGTGAAATCACAACCACGATTTTAAACAGACAGCATGGTAGATCAGTGAGGTAGAGGAATTTCTGCTTTTCCCATGGACCTCTGTTTCTGTCTCCTGTTTAGAATGTTAGCGTAGAGAATGTTTGGGTTGTGTGATAAATAGTGTCAAACAAATCTATTCTTGCCACCATTTACTAGCTCTTTGAGGGGGCTGTTGGGGTCCCCCTAACTTGCCCCTTCCCTTACTCAGATGTTAAATCCCATGCACCTGCCAACATAGCGATCTTCTCTTTGAAGCAAGCAAGAGTCCCCGTGGTGTTCCCCTAAGCACACATGACTTGGAAAAGTACAGCCTCCAGGCAGACCATGGTGGCCCTCTTCTAAAGCCATCATGGCAGCTGTGACTTAGCTGGAGCTTTCAGGTAGGTGAGGATGTGGCAGCCTCTGGACCATAGGCATTTGGGGTGGGGTAACTCTTCCTTGTGGGGACTGTTCTCTGGACAGTGTTTCATGTTTAGCAGTATTCTTGGCCTCTCCCCACTAGATGCCAGGCATCCCACCTCCTCCAGGATTCACAGTAAAAACTGTCTCCAGGCTTTGCCTAATGTCTGCTGGAGGCAAAATCAACTCTGACAACCATCGGTATGAATCATCTCCGTCGTCCTCAGAATAAGTTACAAGGTGGAGATTGTGACTTCATGTCACATTGTGCAGACGAGAAAGCCAGGACAGCGAGGAAGGAATGCAGAGGCTTATCTCTGCCATGGGCCAGCATGTATCTGTCATGGGCCAGCATGTATCCTTGTTGACCTCAAAGTGGCACAAAGGCTGACCCCGCCATAGACCCGGCTGCTCAGTTCTCTTTGCTATTTTATTTTTAAACTATGCTATCTCTAGTTTGGAAGGCTTGGGTTTTAATATCTACTTTTATTTCTCACACAACTGTCTTACTGCTGATAATACATCTCTTGCCTGGCTTAATAACCAGGTCCTTAGTTTTCTCCCCCTATTTTAACCTGCTCATCTTCCCAGCTCCCTTTCACCTTGGCTTTCTCAGACGTTATTTGAGATCTTCTATATGAAGAAAATCCCCGCTGCCTTCCTCATTGCCTTCGGTGCTGGTTCAGAGTAGTCCTGGATCAGCCACAAGGGGAACTGTTGGAAAGGCAATTCCTCAGCCCCACTCCAAACCTAATAAATCGGGAACTCTAGGATAGACACCTCCATACCTGTTCTAACACGCCCACCACGTGCTTCTAGTGTTCTCTGAGCTTTGAGAATGGCTGACCTACTTAACCAGTTCTGATACTGTATGGGGTGCATAGGAATCCTGACCCCTATGGCCACCACCTTCTCCCTCCCTATTTTATCACCTGCATTTAACTGCTTTTCAATGTTATTCTGTCACTAGTTATCAAACATGTATCTGTCTCTCTGCTCCAAGCACCAATGATAAAACAAAACAGTCTGGCTACTGGGTGGCCAGTTGCCAAGCAGAGGGGCTCTGTCTTGGGGCATCAACTGGATTGGTACACCCCACATAATTTTACAGCAGAAACCCCTGTCATCATGTCTCCTCCCCCCATCCCAGGTGAACTTCCAGGCTTATTTTGTGACTTATTCTCAAATGTCCCCTTTTCTGAATTAGAGGACTAGCTCTTAGCTTTCCAGTCCATGAACCTTATACATCTTCCTATCATTTTTAGTTGTCCAGTGGCAATGTTAGTGTTTGCTTACCTGCTTCCTAGAATACAGAAAAGGTGTCACATACCTTTGTATGTCCAACATTGTGAATGGGTGATGAGCCCAGCCACACAATCACACCAGAGTTATCTGGAGTATACAAACAAATAACAAATGATGCCAGAACATATCCTAAGATCTACAGAAGTAGTCTTGCAAATCAGTTTAAACAAACAAACAAAAATGCATTTCAACATAGTTGGATCACTGGAAGCTGTGTTTAGGGCAGGCATTTAATCCATAATTTCTTGAATGTTTAGTCAATTACTTAGCAAGGCTAACAGGCCATCAGCTCTCCTTAACCCCGACTTGCCTCTCAACTCTGTTGGGTGTTTGCTTTCTTCTGTTTCACTTTCCTCTTCCTTTAACAGCCAGACAACAGTCACAACCAATAAACGACCCCCCCCACATTGATTTTAGTTATTGTCCTAACCTATGGGGACTCAAGGTAATATGTTCTCAGTGCTGAGCCTCCAACAGTGACCTCAAATTAGGGACACCTATTTAAGCAGCTCCTAAAGTATTTTCAGGATTCTGGTCATTTTGTACCAGCTCAGACTGTGCCCAAGGCTTATCTTAATGATTCTTGGTGCTCTCTGCAGTGTTTCTGAGGCCTTAAGCTGGCTCACCTACAGCTAGGTAACCAGCTCCGTTCATCACCCTTGCTTCAGGCCGACTCAGCCAAGGTTGTAAATCTGCCATAAAGTCAAACAACATCCGGGTGAAGACTAATGAGGAAGTTCTCTGCTGTCCTTGAGGGTGGTTATAGAGAAATCGAAACTCAGCTGTTAAAACCGCTTTCCTTGCTCTTCAGAACCCACTCCTCGAGCCTCCTGGGAACCTCACCAACATCCCTCCCTCAGAGGCTGAGGCCAGCACTCAGCCGGGACGCTGTGGACCATGTACACCCACACTCGAAGTAGGGTAGTGCGCCCAGGGCCGGGCTCTTCTTCCATCTCTCGGGACCATGCTGGGCATGAGCGTCGCAAGGAGCTGGACTTGAAGCAAAGCCAGAGACAGAGTTTGGAGGTGCCAGCTTCCAAGGATGCTAAGATGGAGGGGCAAGGGCGCGCTGACCAGAGGAGGTAAGCATTCAGGAAGCTGCCTTGGATGCAGGAAGTCCTGGCCCCAAACATAACCAGACACCCTCTAGGTCTTTAAAGGTTGAAACCAGAGAGGCCACATATACTATCCTCTTGGGACCAGTGAAGTACAGCTGGTCCCCAGCTGCTCAAGGTTAAAATGTGTTCTAAGCAGGAAGGGAGTCATTTATTCTTGATCTGTGGTCTGTGGTTTAAGGCATCCTGAAAGCATGCTATGTATAGTATCAGCAACCCTCTCTTTGCACCAGGTGGAATGGGTTTTGCTTTTATTTTATTTTATTTTATTTTTTTTTTTTTGTTCAGCACTGTGGTTTGAAGTGCCGTCTCTGTGGATCGGAACTGCCCAAATGATTTTATTTTTAGTTTTCCCCCTTTGCAGTGACTTCTTTGTTGCAGGAAAGACAAATGTTGGTTGCTAAGGAACAGTTATATAACCTTATGACCAACAAACAGTAGAGTCTCTCTCATCCCCCGGCTTCTGAAAGAACCAAGGTTATAATACTATTCAGTGTAGAGTTACTCTTGGATGGGGCAGATGGTCTGGGAATCAATTAGAGATGGTGGGATTTCTCTCAGAGTAACTGGCATCTTCCCATGATAGAAGTTCATTGACTTCGAGTCACATATTTAAGTGGTTAATGATAAAAATCCATTTCCAAGCCTTTTTATTAGAAAGTATCTATTTAGATATAACCACTTACTTGTGTACTTTTATCATCTCACAAAGCACTAATCAGTTGTATCTTTCTGTTTTCTGATTTGATTGTAATTACTCTAGGATCTTACTGGACCAAATCACTCAGAAGGGGCAGTTTTCCTTTAGATCATTAGAGAAATTCCTGAAAGAATTGAATGACTTCCCACGGACTTCATGTGCATAGGTGGTAGTCAGCAGAATGTTAGAGAAGGCATTCCCTTTTAGGGGTTTAACATCTAAGGCATCTTCATCGTTCACTCTGTCAACTTCCTCACTTGTCTTCTCAAAGGAACTCATAACCAAGGGGATTGGTTGGGTGACAAATGGCATCTCTGTACAAACAACAAAAAAGAATTAGAAAAGTCTTATTTTGGAGAGAGAACTAAGAAGGCGTGTGTGTGTGTGTGTGTGTGTGTGTGTGTGTGTGTATGCGTGCACGCACACACATGAGAGAGAGAGAGGAGAGAGAGGGAAAATAAGAACAGAGGATGCTAAATGCTCATTTGTATGGGGAAGGTAAATTTAATCTCATTGGTGTTCAGCCTGCTGTAAGTTCATCTGGGCAATGAATCCAAGGTAGGGATTACAAGCATGGGCTTTGATGCCTGGTAGATGAGTTCCACTTCTGATTCTGTGGTTACTTGCTCTCTGAATCACATGCTTAGCCACTATATGTCTCAGTTTTCTCATTCATTAAAGTGAAACAATAGCAATCTTTAAGCCAGTATTCAGTCAGGGTTGGAAGCTGAGGGCCATGACGTCATTTAACAAGCGCTTATTGATGATGATGCTATCACCCTTAGATCGTGCGTGCTGGTAGTTTTGTGCCAACTTGAAAAAAGCTAGAGAGAGTCCTTTCAGAAGAGGAAACCTCGGTTTAGAAGGAGCTTCCACCATGTTGGCCTATGGCAAGCATTTCGTTCATAATCCCCCTTGATTGAGGATTAATGTGGGAGGGCCTAACTCACCATGGGTGGTGTCTCTCCTGGGCTACTGGTCCTGAGTCCTATAAGAAAGTAGATCAAGCAAGCCATGAGAACAAACCAGTATGCAACACTCCTTCGTGGTTTCTGCATTAGCTCCTGCTTCCAGGTTCCTGCCCCAAGTTCTTGTCCTGACTTCCTTTGGTGATGAAGTGTGACACAAGAGTTGTAAGCTGAAATAAACCATTTCCTCTGACGTTTTCTTTTTGTTCTGGTGTTTAAATCACAGCAATAGAAAACTAAGACAGAAATTGGTATCAGGTCATGGGGTACTGCGGTGCCAGAGCTGACCACGTTTTTGGGACGATTGTGGAAGAACTCTGGAACTTAATGCTAGAAAAGGCATTGGGTGTTAAGAGCTCAGTGAGCTGTTGTGAGAACTTAGAAGATAATGCTGAGAGCAGATGACAGACGCCTGGCTTTGAAGTGTCAGAGGGAAGTTTAAGAGTCCCTTAAAGGCTCTATTGGGGCATCTTGAAATTTTGAATTACGAACTACTAAAGTGAAATCTTTGCTGGGACAATCAACACTGGAAAGTAGGGCCTGAAGAATTGTCTTTGATTAAGAAGGGACCAGGATCACCGAGGCAGAATTCTCTGAGGAGCATCTCAGCAGCCAACACAGAAGCTGTGGTCCAGAGGTGGCCAGCACTGTATCTTGTGCTGGCAGCCAGACCTGGTAATGTGTGAGTCATTTATTCAGGTACCTTGAAGGCATGAAGGCATCATGGAGAGAGGCTGAGGCTTGGCACTAGGTGGCAGGGTAGGGTCCCCAAAGAGAGCCCAGGAGAGGCTATTGGTGATGGTGCAGCCCAGTTTGGTGGGTCCCTGAGCATTTTTGAGAAGCCAGTAATGCAAGAGAAGCCAAGGGCAGCAGTGGCTGCAGAATGGAGGCAGCCTTAGCATAGGAGACAAGCGGGGTGCTGTGGGGGGTGGGCACAAGAAGTAGAGATGGCTGTCTAGACCCCTTGGAGTCCTGAAGGTTGGGAGTAGGATCCCAGACGCCAAATACTGGACTTTTAAATACTGTTGAACTTTGGGTTTGCTTTGATTTGACTGTGGCTTGCTCTGTTTCTTCCTTCTTAAAGTAAAAAATTGTGTGGTTTGTTTTTTGTTTGTTTGTTTTTAACTTCACAGGAGCCCACATCTAACAGACTTTGGAATTTTAAAGAGACATTTGACTTTTAGGAAGACCAGAATTTTGGAGAGGCCAGTGTTTTGGAGAGACCGGACATTTTAGAGTCTAAAGTGCTTGAATTAGTGATGCTTGTGGGACTTTTAAAGTTTGGAGTATGTTTTATATTGTGATATTGGTATTAGTGACATCTTGTGGACAATAAGAAAGGTTTTCTTTAATAGTGATGTGTCTGCATATCAAGTTGACAGGATGTCAATTGTACTTGGAGTTTTGTGTGAACTTGACAGAAAATAGTCATTTGGGAAAAGGTAACCTCAAGCGAGAAAATGACCTCAACAGATTGGCCTGTGGTTAAACCTATGGTACAATTTCTTGATTGATGATTGATATAGGAGTGCTCAGCTCATTGTGGGTAATGCCATTCCTGGGATGTGGCTCTGGGTGCTATAAGAAAACAGGCTGAGCAAGCCATGAGGATCATTCCAGTGAGCAGACTCCTCAATGGCCTCTGCTTCAGTTCCTGACTTCAAGTCCCTTCCTCCAGCTTCCTGCCCCGATGTCCTTTGATGATAGATTGTAACTTGGAGGTATAATCAAAATAAACTCTTTCCTTTCCAAATTACTTTTTGGTCATCATCTTTGTTACAGCAATAGAAATATAAGACAACTAGTAAAAAAATAAAAGATATTTGAAATTCCTTAAAAATCAATGATTCCTAAGTTGTGGTAGACTACTAGATAGGATAATTTTTTTTAGTGCATTTAAATTTCAGTTATTGCAAATATTTACTATTTCCTGTTGGCTTTTATAGCTATTTTTACCTGGTGATATATAATTTGTCCCAACTATTATGAACTATTCACATAGATTTAAAGAGAAACAAAATCTTAGATAAACTTATAATTTAAAGCAGTCTTTTATTTTGCCTTTTACTATTTTGCTTGCTTCTAAGCAAATTCTACTTACAACTACATAGATATTAAAGTTACAGATTTCCAGGCTGATTATGCACAATTGTGGGCAATAGACTCTTGCCTGTGTTAGTGATAAAAGCCTGATGCTGTTTAAAAAATAAACAAACAAACAAAAAACCCAAAAGAGACATTCTGAAAAGGGACCAGCAACATAGAACTTTACTACACAGTAGTGAACTTTAATATGATATAGACACAAATTCCATTTACTATAGCATGCTTATGGTCTACTGTATATGAACTGCTATAGAGATCTAAAGATTGAACAGCAATAATGGAAAATACTTATGGAGTGCTTGCTGTGCTAACACCCTTACAGTAATAGGGGATTTCTAGCTCTGGACAATTTAAAATGCTGGAACAATTATCTATTTAGCAAACTTCATAAGGATTTTTTTTAAATCTAATTAATGGGACAGATACCTCTGCAATAATTACACAAGTAAATCTTTGTGTGTACTACAAAAGAAAGCCAATGCCTGAGCTAGTTGTGAGAGCAGGAAAATACTTCCTAAAATACAATATTAAACTGAGACTATAGGAGAATGGGAAGTTGTATGTGTATAGATGTTTACGTCATAGGTTGCAATGATTTGATTGCCAACTTGTCAGGATTTGGAATTATCCGGGAGACAAGCCTGCAGTACCACATGAGAATTTATTTAGATTAGATTAGCCTTTCCGCATGCCCTTGAAGGATTACTTTGATTAGGATAACTGAGGAAGATATGCTAGCATCATAATCTGGCCTTGGGTGTAGGATTGCATAAAAAGGAGGAGACTTGCTGAGTATCAGCATCTATTACTTTTATGTTCTTGACTGTGAATACAATGTCATCAATTGCTTTAAGTCCCCATTGCCGTAATTTCCCTGTTGTGATGGATTGTACCCTTGAAGCATAGACCAAAATAAACCCCTGGTACTCTGGATAAAAATGTCCCCCATAGACTCATATATTTGAACGCTTGGTGAAACTGCTTGGGAAGGATTAGGAGGTGTGGCCTCATTGGAGGAGCTGTGCCACTACCAGTGGGCTTTGTGGTGTAAACATTCCATGCCATTGCAGCTAGCTTCTCTCTTGCCTCATGGCTGTTTTCTCAACATGAAGGAGCTTTGAGCCTCTGCTAAGGTGCCCTTCCTGCCTGTCTGCTGTCATGCTCCCTGCCATGATGGTCATGGACTCTACTGT